TACACAGAGAAACCCTGTCTCGAAAAAAACCAAAAAAAAAAAAAAAAAAAAAAAAAAAAAAAAAAAAAGTGTATGTCACCACTGCCCGGCTCCATCTTAGTTTTTGAAGCTGGCTTCCTCACTGAACTTGAAACTCAACATTTCTAGGCTGGCTGGCTGGAGAGCTCTTGGGGTCTGCTTGTCTTCATCCTGGTCACTCCCACCCCACCCCACCCCACCCCCAACTCTGGAATTGTGGGTGCTAGGGATTCAAACTCAGGTCCTCTTGCTTGCACAGCATATGCTCTTACCCACTGAGCCATCTCGACAGTCTGGTGGGGTAGTTTTCTGATGCTATGTCTGTGAGGCAAATCTCTGCACCTCTCAGAGTGAGTGTTCTCAAACCTAGCTGCCCATCTGTGTCAGCTGCGGGAATGCTAGTGTTCTGTTTATTTTGATGCTGAGGATGGGACTCAAGGCTTCACACATGATAGTGAGCTACATTCTAGCCTCTGTCCCATGTTTTTAGAGAAGTAATTTCCAGAGTCATCCTTGTGCATTCGAGGACTCGAGCTGGAACTCCAGAATCCACGTCTTCAGGAGCCTCCATCAAAAGGTTCTCATGGGCAAACTGCTTTGGATTCTGTCTCAGTTTCTTTTTCTGTTGATGTGATAAAATACCCTGACCAAAGCAACTCAAGGGAGAGAGAACTTGTTTTAGCTCACATTCATGGTGGTGAAGTCAGGCATTGGGAGCTTGAGGCAGCTGGTCAGCATTGCGTGTGCAGCCCAAAAGCAGAGTGATGAGCGCATGCTCGACTTCTGCTGAACTCTCTCCATTTTATTCAGCCCAAGACCTTCTGCTCAGGGAATGGTCCCATCCACAATTACCATGACTCTCTCCATATCAGCTAAGATAATCAAATACTTCACAGGCATTCCCAGAGACCTGTGGTCTGTCAGTTCCGATGAGTTACCATCTACTGTCAGTGATGACAGATGCCTAACTTGAACTGGGCATGATGGGACAAATCTGAAATCCCAGCATGTGGGAGACTGAGGCCAAGATTTCGAATTGGTAGCCTGGGCTATATATTATATCCTGTCGGGGGGAAGAATTCCTATTTTAGAGATGTTTTCCTTGGCAGGAAGAGAGAAGGGAGGCCATGGTTACAGGGACAGAGGGTCAGAGCGCCTTGGCAAAAGCCCACAGTGAGTGACAATGGGTGGGGTGACTCGTGGATCTATGAATATCATTATGGATGAAGCTTTTAGCTGGGCATGGTAACACATACCTGTAATGCCAGCACTTGTGAAGTAGATAGGGTGGCCAGGGTTTCAGGGGCAGCCTCACTACATGAGACTCTGTGTAAAAAAAGCCTTCTCCATTTTGTGTGTGTACATATACATGCTTTTATGTCTGTGTGTGTGCGGAGGTGCCTGTCATGAAGCCTGAAGGCCTGAGTTCGATCCCTGGAATCCACATGGTACAAGGAGAGAAGTGATTCTTGCACATTGTCCTCTGATCTCTAAACACATGCAGTGGCATGTGTGTCTCCCTCTAATAAATAAATAAATGTTAAAAAAAAAAAAAAGCAGCAGCAGCGTAGGTAGAGAGGGGGTAGCGTGTACTCAGCCCTCTAGCTCTGCAAGTAATGGCATCTGTGTTATTTTCACTTAATATTTCCCCCACGCATTTGAGTTCCCCTCCCACCATCTTTTTACATCTGCAGGTTCTCTTGTGCAATGCTGTCAGCTTGCGTTCGTCTCCGGTCCCCACCACATGCTCCTCCTGCAGCAGCAAGGGATGGTGCCACGTACTTCTCAAGTCCCCCATGTACCTGTCACTTCTCAGAAGTTGCATTCTCCTTCCAGGGACGCTCGAATCCACCAGCACCTGCTGTCAGATTCTCTCCCTTAAGGCTCCATTCCCACCACATCCCTCTTCTGCTCACACGTCCCTGGAGCTCTGCTTTCTGCAGGCTGGGTAGAACTTATCCCCAAATTCAGAGTCCTCCACAGTGACCCAGCTAGTCCTCACTGTAGCATGAATCTTAGAGAGTCTTATTAATAAAATCAAACCCGAGGCCAGTTATCGGGGTAAATACTGGAAGATCAGAGAGACAGAACAAGCCACAGCTACCTCACCTGACCAACTTCTCAGCTGATCTTGTTTCCTCAGACTGGAAACCTCTGAGTCCTCATCCCAATGGCTCTCAGCTGAACTGCTGCTTGAAGCCTGAAAGCTTAACCAGCCAAATGCTTAACCAGGCAAATGCTTCTAGTTTCTGGTCCTCACGCCTTATAAACCTTTCTGTTTTCTACCACCACTCCCTGGGATTAAAGGCTGCTTTCTGGGATTAAAGGCGTGAGTCACCATGCCTGGCCGTTTCCAATGCGGCCTTGAACTCACAGAGATCCAGAGGGATTTCTATCTCTGGAATGCTAGGATTAAAGGCGTGTGCTAACATTTTCTAGCCTAAGTATCTTGTGGCTTTTCTGTTCTCTGACCCCAGATAAGTTTATTAAGGTACACAATATTTTGGGGAACACAATACCACCACACCTCACCTTCATCTCAGCCCATGTCGCCGCTGCTGCTCCAGTGCTGTCTAAACTCACCTTCCTCTCTCTACCAAGGCGCTCACCTTCCCTTCTGTAACTCTGCACAGGCCCTCAATCTCCCCAGGGGAGTATGACTCTCTGTAGCCCTACAGACTGCAAGGGCAGGACTGGGTTAGTACTGGAGGCAGCCTACACAGACTTGCAAGGGGTAACCTCGCCTCATCACCCAGAAGGGAGAGCCCTCAGCTGCTGGGTGTCCCTGCTGGACTGTCCATTCTGTGAAGACAAGAGTTTGGTTTTGCAGCTCCCATGGGACTGCCATGGTCTGGGCTAGGCCCGTGTGGCTGGTGAGAGGTTGGCTTCCTGGTTGTCATGCTGTTCTGAGCTCCTCCATCCTTCCTTAGGATGGGGTAGAGGGAGTTTTTTTGGAAATGCAGAGCCCTGAGCACTTCAGGTATTCAGGGGTGTTGGGGAGCCTGGGTACCGTGTCTGTAACAAGTGCTACAGGCGGTGCTAGAGTCTGAAGATACTCAGGGCAAGGCTTCTTCTGTGGCCCCCACAGACCACCCACTGGGTGAGAGGCACTCCCTTGTTGGAGATCTGAAAGTAAAGGAGATGGCGAGATGGGGCGGGGCCTCCATTGGGGTGGCAGTTCAGATGAGGAGGAGTATGGGGAGGGTCAGGATGAGAAATCAGCAGCAGGACTCAGTGGCCCATAGCCTTGATCTTAGGCATTAGGGCAGGCCAGAGTAAAGCCTGTGTCCCAAAGCAAGTAGGAGCCAGCAAGCTGGAAAGGGGGGCTAGAAACCAAGTTCAGCAGGAAGTGGATGGACTCTCTCAGTGTCCTCCAGGGCAGGAACAGAGAGAATTGGGGTCATGAGAATGGTCACCAGTCCATGGGCCAATTTCCCAAATGTCTTAATTTAGATCCTGGCCTGCTTTTGACAGGTCATGGACCCTTGGGGTCAGTGTGGGGTCAGCTTGTGATTGTGACCTTGAGTAACATACTTAATTCCTGAGTCTCCATATGTAGGATAAAGTGGAAGGCTCAATACCTGCCCCCAAAGATGTTTGTGTCCTAATCCCTACACCTGTGACTATGTGACTATGTGATGAAAGGGACTCTGAGACAAGATGAAGCAGGGGATCTCGAGAGATGGGGTTATCCAGGTGTGTCCCCACAGAAGGCAGGCAGCGGGACCAGGGTTCAGGGATGGGGTTATCCAGGTGTGACCCCACAGAAGGCAGGCAGCGGGACCAGGGTTCAGGGATGGGGTTATCCAAGTGTGTCCACACAGAAGGCAGGCAGCGGGACCAGGGTTCAGGGATGGGGTTATCCAGGTGTGACCCCACAGAAGGCAGGCAGCGGGACCAGGGTTCAGGGATGGGGTTATCCAGATGTGACCCCACAGAAGGCAGGCAGCGGGACCAGGGTTCAGGGATGGGGTTATCCAAGTGTGTCCACACAGAAGGCAGGCAGCAGGACCAGAGTTCAGGGATGAGAGGACAGAGCAGATCAAGGACAGGGCACTATGCCACCAGCTCTAGCCACAGAGCAAAGGGCCATGAGCCAAGACCACAGGCAGCTTCAAGAAGCTGGGGCAACAGGAAATGGTATCCCCACACTAGCCCCGAAGGCCCATTCAGACTGTCCTGACCTCCAAAGCAGAGGAAGGATGCTTTTGTGTTGTGGAAGCCACTAAGCCTGTGGTAATTGTTGTGAGAGCCCCCAGGGAACAGTTATAGGGAGAACAGGCAGAGTCCTCTGGGGGGGGGGGTGAGGGGGGCTCAGAGCTCACATCAGTGAAGATCTACAGCCAAGCAAAGCTCAGTAAGCAGCAATGTCTTCTACAGGGATGAGAGAGAGCTGGAAAGGGGGAAGGGAAGGGGAGGAGAAGGGAGGGGGAAGGGAAAGGAAGGGAAAGGGAGGGGAGGGGAGGGAAGGGGAGGGGAAACGGGCAGGGGAACAGGAAGAGGGAAAGGAAGGGAATAGCCCCCAGGTGGCCCTTCCTCCTACACCCCTCCCCTGTGGGTTGGAGTGGTTGTGGGAACAACAGGGACTCTCTGAGTTTGGCTCCAGTCCTGCACACCACAGGTCCCAGGTCCCAGTCCTGTCTCCTAGCAATCATCTCCTGGGCTGAGGTTACTTCCTGGCTCTCCATCTCCACCTCTCTGAGACTGACTTCTGGGTCACCCAATGACTCCTGTTTTCCAGAAGTCACAAGCTTGGCGCTGGGCCCTAGTAGCCCCCCCCCCCCCCCATCCCATGTCACATCTCCTCCTAATCTCTTCACTTTGGAGACACACAGTGGCTAGGACCTGAGCAGGACAGAGCCCCAGAGGACAGAGTGTGGGAATTCCCCCGCTTCTCCTGGAGCACTGGAGGCTGAGCAGTGGGGTGTAGGTTGGGCAGCTTTACAGTCTCCCCTGAAGCTGTCCCCTCTGGCCTCTCCCAGGTACCTTCGTCTCGGCCTTCACCGTGCTGTGTGGGGCCCGCACTGACCTCCCAGACAGGCACGTGTGCTGCGTCTTCTGGCTGAATATCGCTGCGGCCCTAATTCAGGTGCTCACGGCCATCGTTATGGTGGGCTGGATCATGAGCATCTTCTGGGGCATGGACATGGTCATCCTTGCCAGTGAGTAATGGCTGGTGTGTTGAGGGCAGAGCGGGGTGGGGTCTGGCCAGGGTGCCAGAAGTGGGGAGGAGCCTAGGAGGGACAGGAAGTCTACACTTGGGCCAGGACCTCTCACCCCCAAAGACACCTGTATCCTTGGATGCAGCTTCCAAGGGCACACCTGTTCCTCTACCCTAGTGCCCTGGCCACCTGTGCCAGAGGCCTCTCTCTACCACACCAGCCCTGCAGGGGGGTCTCCAAGGGAGGGCCCTCTCCAGCATTTGTCAAGGAGGCAGCTCTCCCACTGAACCTGGGTAAGCTGATGGATTCAGAATGAGGTCAGCCTCCTGGCCCATGGTTGGGTGTCTGCATCACAGTTTCTAGGGGAAGAGCAAGGCCACACACTGCCTTCACCCGCAGGAAGCCGCCTAACTGTGTTACACACGGACCTGAACGACTCCTCACTGGGTTGAACTACACACTTTGGTTGGTTGGTGCGAAACTTCTCACTGTCTTTGAAGGCGTTAGTGATTCATCCATCATTAATGCAAAAATCGGTTTAGGCATGAAAGTGTTTTGTGGAAGTATATAAAGTTTCAAAATCAAATTTTACCAAAGACAAATGATCATTTTAAAAATAACCTGGCAGACTCTTCAATCAGACATCACCTCCCTGAACAGCTGCTTCCCTGTACCTCCACTCCTGTTCCTACCCCCACGGGGCGGAGGGCCTCAGTGACTGGGACCACATCTCCTCAGCCGCTTTGTTCTTTGTACCCTCTCCCCACATGCCGCTCCTCTCTGGTTCACAGGTTGAATTGCCAGCGTAGAGGAGCTGTGCCAGGGGAGGACCCTAGAGGCAGGAGGAGAAGCCAAGATCAGAGGCCATAGAATGACCTAGAATAGTCTAGAACGATCCAGAACTTACTTAGCCTCAGCAATTCTTTGGACGATGCAGGAAACTCAGGCACACACAATGCTAGGACCAGAGTCAGTGGCTAATTACATCACCCCACCAGAGAAGGTTCAAGTGTCAGAGCCTAGTGGGACTCAGTGTGGGTGGCCAGGGTGCCAGATTTGATAGCAGGTCTTCCCAGAATTGAGAGAGGAGGTCAGTGGGCTGGACCGTCTGGATGTCCCATAGGTGGAGCCAGGGGAGGAGCACCAGGCGGCAGTGCGGGGAATACCCCTTTCTGCTGGGAAGAGCCTCGTCGAGGTGAACTGTACCGCTCCCCCCGAATCGGATGACCCCTCCACTGAGTCTCACTCCCACCTGCTGACTTCCCAGGGGCCACTAGGCCACTTCCCCAGGGACTCGTGGGACGTCTGCAGGCCCCAGATCCCATTCCCAGTTAGGTCCTAGGTAGTGTGGCTACTCTAGAAGACCTGGGAAGGCTGTACCAGCCTCACACCACTGGCTTGTCTGCTCCTTAAACAGGCACCGGGTCAGCAGTGTTGGGACTCCAATAAGAGAGTTAGTCAGCTTTCTGTTATCGTAACACACCTGGGATAAATCAACCTATCGAGGAAATGAGTTCCAACACCCTGAGTTTTAGAAGACTCGATCGATCGAGGCTTGGTTGGCCTTGTTGCTCTGAGTTGTGACCAGACAGCTCTTCATGGCAGGACCAAAGCCACTCACTTCATACCTTGGGAGGGGAAAGAAAGAGAAGAAATGAGAGTCTCCAGATCCCCTTCAAGGGAATGCATCAAGTAAGCCAAAGACTTCCCATTAGGGGGCCGACCTTCATATCTGGGCCTTCGGGGGATATTCCAGGTCTGCCATGGCAATAAGGAATGTGCCAGACTAGGTCTCCCAGAGTTTCCTGCATCCAAGATGCTCTTTGGCCTGCCTCTGATTACTGCCCATTGAACCCATCACATGCCAGGACTACCATATCAAAAATGAGTTCAGGACCCCAAGTAACACATCTTAAACTTGAAATGCCATGAGTTGAACCACTGTAAGTCATGAATCTTTCATGCTTGTCTCTGGTCCTCCTTAATCCCCAGGAACAGGGGTCTAGACCAAAACCATAAGTTTAAGAGCACTCTTGTTAGCCCTAGATGAGATAACATAGACCCCAAGATGTGTTGATGGGGGTCCATGCTCCTTGCCTGCCTGTCTCTCAGGCTGCTGGCTTGGCTGGAACTCTGTGGGTTGGTGTAGGAGCTATAATCTGGCTGCAGGACGTACAGATGTCAGGGCCTCCAGCCCAGCTCTCCCTTCTCACCCTCTCGGCTCCCTTGCGGGTTTGTCGGCCCCTTGGGTGTCTGAGATGTATCCAGGGATTTTTATCTTGGCACCAAATTTTCACCATGATTTTGGGGGGCTGCAGAAGAAAATCGGTTCCTGCCTTCTCTTTGCAGACTGTCAGATGCACCCACCGATCTCAACAGCCACGGCCTTTTCACTTCTTCTCAAAAGGTGGATGCCCCCCATCCCATGAGATGGGCTGGTCTTGCACTAAGCAGCCATGTTTGAGGAGGGGACTTGGAACAGCCCCTTATAAGGGAACAGCTGCAACTGACTTTGTCCCAGGAACAGCTGGCTAGAGGGTTGTTCCTCTGGCATCACTCACATAAGAACACAGGTTGGGTTTCCATGGCACCTTGGCCACCAGCAAACACAGTATCAAATAAAAACTTCTGAGAAGAATCAGAGTCGGCTGAACATCGATGCTCCATCTATGTAATAGCGAGCGGCAACAGTCATAGCAGGCTGTCTTGATTGCTGGTCACTACTTGCCCGGTAGCTCTCCTGACTGCTCTTTCTATGGCTACATCCACATCAGACACTGATAATCATTTGTGACGTTTGTCTCGGCATAAGGCTCTGGGCAGTCATTACCATAAATCTCCTTTTAACTACGTGGAGTGGCCTTAATAATTTCACCAATACGAGATGTCTGCAAGACGTTTTCCATTCTCGGGTCTTTCCCAAAGCAGCAGGCGTTATAATGTGGGTCCGGTCCGTGGAAAGGACTAATAGTGTAGCCCAGACAGAGCGGGGCTGGGACCAGGGCAGGTCACTGTGGCCTCTTTGGTTTGTCGGTCACACCTGCCTTCTCTGTACCTGTCCCTCTTCTAAACCACCCAGAATGCACCCTGAGAGCATGGGCTGGGGGCGGGGAGTGAAGAAGGCAGAAAGTCAGGCGGTGAGCAGAGGTGTGAGAATGGCTGGGGGCGGCGGCACTAGGCAGTGTGGCACAGTCAACCGGCAGAACTGGCCACAGTGGCTGCTCACTGGAAGGGCTAAGCCCACGTTGGCTGAAGCCCTGTCTTGGCAGGGTCTTTGGTAGAGTACCCCCCTCACCTTACATTGCCAGTGCTTTGGCTTCTGTGTTCAGACTGTTTCTCTTTCTCTCTCCTCTTCCCTCTGCTGCCTTGCCTCTCTGCGGCTGCAGTCTCCCAAGGTGAGTCTGTTGGTAGATGCACACCCTCTCTCCTGCAGATACCCAGCCTTTTATAGGTGAATGGTTAGTTGTGTTTGTAGCCTTTCTTTGGGAAGGAGAGTGCCCAGAATAACAGGTCCCTAACGTCTCCACCATCTTTGGCCACTCAGGACCACGCTCATCACTTCTACTTCCCCCAGGCCCCTAACCATCACTGGATTGTTAACACCTAAGATTGACAGGAGACCCACTACACAGAGAGAGACCCAGCTTGGGCTCCTGGCATTCCTTCTTAGACCAAGGTAACTGGCTGGCAGAGTCATAGCCTAGCACCCCCTTCCCTGCTGTCTCAGCTCCTGTAATCTCACCCAATCAGATTAGCAACAATTCCCTCACATCATCAGTGCTCCAACTTTCCCAGGGAGGGATGTGGATACAGGCAGGGGAGAAGCACCAGTCAGTGCATATGAGGGCCTGGGTTTCCTCTCTGATACGGGAAAACAAAAATCGCACGATTAGCAACGATGTTCTGAAGACGCAGTGTGCTCCAGCCCTGTTCCTGTCCCAGCCATCCAGCTGGTTGAACATATGTCAGACAGTCATTTCCTTCTTGGATGGCCAACCTCATCCTTTCTTCCCTTTCTTCCCTTCTTTCCTCCATCTCTCCATCTCTCCGTCCCTCTTCCCTCCTATGTAGCCTTGCCTGTAAATAGGTTTTTGCTGCTCACTGTACAAATAAGGTCCTCATATTGTAAACAAGGTCTCGTTAGTATATTCTGGTCTGGGGCCCTGTTAGACAAATCCCAAAGGGAGTGTCCCCCTAACCACCTCTCCTCTTCTCCTTCCTCACAGGGTACAAGGATCAGGGTATCCCACAGCAGCTGTGAGCCTCCAGAACCTGCCAGGGAAGTCCAGGGTCCTGTGAGGGCTGCACCAGGTGACTCCGGGCACAAGGACCTTCACATGTTCTCTTCTGCCACCTCTCAGTTTGGGGTAGAAAGGGAGTATTTCAAAACATATTATTTATTTTGAAAAACACACCTGCTTTTCTCAGCAGGCTCTGAGGCCAACTTCTCCCTCTGCTCCGGAGGGCACAGGAAGAACAGGGCCAGAACTTCAGGACTGGGCTAGAGGCAGGAAATTGACCAAGCACCAGGGATGCTGGGCGTGCCACTCCAACTGCCCACTCACCCAGGCCTGCCAGGATGGGCTTCTGTAGACCCCGTGCAGGTGATCAGGCACTCTTCCAGGCATTAGGACTTCATGGAACATTTCTCCTGGGCCCTCACCCCCTCACTCAGCCGTGTGGTTCCCTGTACCTGCTCTGTAGTCTCCTGGGGGCAGTATCAGGGTGGAGGTTGCAAGGTAGCCAGGTGGTAGCCCAGTGTAGAAAGGTCCTTGGGTCTCCACAGGTGTCTGATGACACCCCAGCCTTTTAGTCGCTGGGTGTGTGCGTGTGACCTTTGCTTCTCAGAGGCAAGGGTGGCACCGGCTCCACCTCTGGGATGGTGTTGCTAGAATTCCAGATGTTTATATGCAAAATGACCAGACTGAGTTGTGAGCGGCTACAGACCAACAGCCTTCTTGGATATATTTACTATTGTTTCTGGTCCCCTCTCCTTCTGACATCCACGTGTTTCCGAATCCAGATGGTTCAGTTTGAGGAAGGTGACGGCATCCATTCATTGCTATTTCCTAACACCCGAGCCGGGTCTGGGCTTCCCACCCACTGCCGAGCATGCGGCTATCTCTAGGGAGTCCTGTGAATAGTCAGATGGCTTGGGACCCACGAAATGTAAATAGCCTTGCCCGCTCAGGTCTCCCGAGCAAGTCCTGGGGGACACTGGAGACTCGTCTGTATTTGAAGTGTGAGAAGAGCAACCTCGTGAGGTTGAGGACTTCGACCTGGAACTCATACGTGCTGCAAGAGGATGTGTTACGAGGCTGGAGTTGGTGTCACAACGTGTGGACCTTGGTGGCCCTTTAAGCGGCAAACCTGGGAGTGATGTACCAGTACAGAGCTAGATCGTTAGTAGGGGGAGAGACCAAGAGAAGGTTTGCGGGCACCAGTCTGATGAAGAGAAAGGCGACCCAAAGTTACAGCGATGGTGTGGCTGTTTGCATCTCCCTCCATCCTCATTCTAACGTAGGAAGCGCTCACATGTGGGACAGGCCCAGAGCTCAGTTCCCAGCCGTACTGGCCGTGAGCCATCAGTGGGTCCCTCTTGGAGAATCTTTCCTTATCTAACAGAGGCTCTGTCACAGCAGGGCTAAGGAAAGGAGCTGTCCACCCACTGCCTTGGTGGATGGAGGCTCTTGGGAAGCAGCTCCCATGGCCCTGGGGTTCCAGCCCCCTACCAGGCTTCTTAATCGCAGTCTTTGGGAGCAGGCCCCCAAACTGAACGGCCCCTGATGTCACCATGAAGAGATGTGGTCCTGTGACTACTCCCTCCTGGCTCTGACTCTGGACTAGTTTGCCTGTCCTCCCCTGTGTCTACCCATTAGTTTCTTCCAGGGCCGTGTGCGATCGAGTTGCACCCTCAAACACCTGCCAGGGTCCTGTCTCTTTCTGCATTTCCTTCTGTTGCTTCTGTGTGTCTACAGCCCCTGTGTTGGGACAACACTCTGGCAGATCACTGCTCTCAAGGAAGCTACATCAGGTACCAAAGCTGTACCAGACAGTCACGGCACAGGGAAATGATGGGTCAATGTGCCCTCCTACGCTACCATCCCATGGCCCTTTACTCCACATAGCCAGTGATGACAAAGCCTTGGCAAGGGCAGCCCCCAGAGTGAGGGAGGAGTCTATGTGCCTGGCTTGGGCTGGGGGTGGCTCCTGGGGGCGTTAAAAGGAGACAGCAATTTGTATTGCTTGTTTCGTGACGTGAGCCAGACACGAGTGGGACTTTTCTGAGTGACAAGTGTCACCGTGAGTTCCAGTGTGGGATGACTTAATACAGGGGTTTGCGAGCTTGGAAAGCTGTCTCCCTGGCACCCCCCCCCCCACTCCAGGCGGCCGATGTGGGTAGACTTAGGAGCCCCCCAGAATAGTGAGTCTGAGGGTTGCCATTAGCATAGCTTTAGTATATATATAGTATATTCTCAGATGATGGACAGTGGCTAAATTACTCCACATAGTCCAGCCTGGCCATTGGATCTAGGTGACCAGAGTTCATTTACTAAACACCAGCCATCTAGAAAGCAGGGCCATCAAGCCAGAAAGCGCTTCGTGTCTACAGGGCCCTTCAGTGACAAGGCTGCCTGGATGGCATAGCTCAGGGCCGCTGTCCCAACCTTGGAAAAAGAATTCAGAAGAATATTCTCTGGCTAGGAGTGGCAGGGGCAGAGACCAAAGGCACACAGAGAACATCCTGGTGAACGAGACACTGACGTGGCATCGTGGTCAGAGGGGCCATTTTTCCACCACAGTGGGACCCCGGAGCAACAGCGAGGCGCCGGGTAGCCCGAGCGCCCTGGTTTCCTTTCTGTCGCCATGATACCACGTGCTGACCAAAGAGCAGCATGCGGGAGGGAGGGGCTTTTGTTTCTGTTTGCGTTTTTGCTTCTTCTAACCCAGGTGATGTGCAGAGGAGTCATGATGCGGGGACTCGGAAGCTGCTAGTCGGACATGCGCAGTCAAGAGCAAGAGAAACGAATGTGTCCGTGCCGTGTGCTCTCTGGCGCCTCAGCTAGTTTTATGTACACTAAGTCCAGGACTGTGAAAGGGTGCCGCCCACAATCAGAGTGGACCACTAACGTCAGTGAACAATTGTTCAATGAACAATTCAGATAACCCGCCACAGACATGCCCACCGGTCAATCTGATCTGAATAACTCCTCATTAAGACATTCCCCGTGTGGTTCTAGGTTTTGCCAAGCTAAAACTAAGCAGCAGTATGTAGTGTATTGTGGAGACCACTGGGGACTCCGGACCGTGGCCAGGGGTCCTGTGGATTGTGGACTGTGGCCACAATGGTATCACCCACCCCCAGCCTCAGTCTGACCAAGCTGCTGCCCTGGCTCAAGTCTCCAGCTGCCCTGGAGAGACGAGAAGGAAGTGACAAGGACATGGTCTGCTCCCTGCCTCCAGGCCCCAGACCTGTGTCCAGCTCCAGAGCACAACCCCACAGAAGGCCTGGCCCAGGTGTTGCCCAGAGCAGTTCATCTTCTGGGTTCTGTGAACAGCCTGTGGAGAGGGGGTTAGTTAAGCTTTCCCATGGAGAGTGGAGGCATCTCCCCCAGACACACACCCCTCAGGAGTCACAGGGAGGGATAGTGAACCTCTTCAGATGGATGGGGCAGGGTTTTCCCCCTGCCTTCCTGGATCCTTGACCTCATCTGCCCTCAAAGCCGTGCACCCTGGCTTCTGCGGGCCCCTGATGGAGGGTGGGAGCAGATGGCAGCTGGAGACAGTTGGTACTAAGAGCTGCCTGCCTCATGGGATCCAGTCCCTGCGTTCCCTCACAGGACCAATGCTGCACTGATGCATGATAAAATCGTGGGGTGTAAGATGCTGGGGGCTGGGGAGCAGAGAGGAGAGCTCAGCTAAAGGAGACCCAGCATGTCCCCCAAACAGAAAAGAATCAAGATGTGCAAAAGAAAAGCCATCTATACATCTCAAACACTGAGTCTAAGGCCAACATACAGTGGCTGAAACCCCAAGACCAGAAAAATCCCCCGCAAAGGTCTAAGGTTTCTGAAGGGGGAAGCTGAATGTCTGGTCCTTTTTCCTTAAGATACAAAACACAGCCGTCTTTCTCTTTAGCTGGTCTCTTCCTGGCTGGGCCGGTGGGCCACCTTAACACATGCCTCCAGCTTACATGAGGTGGGAGTGGGCCATCCAGTCCTTAGTGATGTGCGTCCTTCTTAAGGACCCACATGAAGAAAGCTGGGGCCAAGTACAGCATGCTGGGGACGCAGAAATGTAGTGCTCTGTTAGTGGTAACACTCCCGGCAGGTCTTTCTCACACCCTCTGGATCATGTTCTAGCTCCACTGTAGGGACCCGAGGGGAGCTTTGGGAAACCCCCAGCCTCCCTAGTCATGACTTCGCAGAGGCTGGCCTCCTCTGTGGTTTGGGAGGCTTTGGGCTTAGAGAAAACACTCTGTAGACACCGCCATCACTTACTCCAGGGCAGAAGTGTGCCCAGTGCAGACCAAGGTCTCCCCCTAGTGGAGGCAGGAAGCCAGGACACCATCTGTGGGCCGGGGGTGGGGTCCACTGGCTCACCTGTGGGGTTCTGCAGTTAGCAAATGTTCCTTCAGTGCTAAAAGTGCTCAGGTCCTGAGCTCAGATGAAAGATGCCCTTCACTCTACATCCCTGCAGTACCCAGCTTCCACCAGTGACAGCAAGGCTGGGGAGACCCTTTCTTCAAGGACCAGCTGCTCTGTATCCTTCCAGAGAGTTCTGTGCCTAGGTTGTAGGTTGTCAGGGACATGGAGGTCATCTTGGGTAGTGGCAGGGACATAGTGTTGTGACTAGGTCAGCTGAGTGGTGAGGGGAGCCTACAATCTTCCTCCTCTTCCTGTCGACTTTCGAAAGCTTCTGAATGTTACTGGCTTCACAGAGGCAAGGTATGATTCCACTCAAAGCACGACCCAGCCTCAATCCCATGATGCACCATGACAGAATGAATCCCAACCATGGTGGTCCCGAGTACCCTTCATGTCTCGGGGTGACTATGGTCTAGCGTCACCCATGTCCCTCTATCTGCCTTGTTCTCTACAGTATAGGAATAAAGCCAGCCCTTCATTTCCCCAATCCTGCCAAAGCCAAGGGTTTAGAGAACCCAGGCCCACCCAGGCAGGGGAGGTATGTTGACCTTACTACTCACAAAGGCTGGAAGCCCCAGAGCTGGGAGAGCCCAGATTCTTCTTGGCAAAACAGACACTAGTCCAACACGCCACAACCCTCCTCCCTGCAGGGCAAGTGACCTTTCCTGGGGAAACACAGAGAAGTGTCTCTTTGCCCCAGATAGGTTACCGAAGGTCTAAAGAAAGGATTCCACCAAAGTTAAATCTGGGACCCAGTGAGTTTATGGGGTTACTTACAGGAGCATGGGTGACTCTTGGTAAGCTATGTCACAGAAAAGCCCCACCCCAGCATGGGTGACAACTCAGGAAAGCTGCATCATTGCTGTCCTCACCCCAGTCAGCCCCCCCTTCCCTACCGCCCCCCAACTCTATCCCCTACACACACTGGGTTCCTCTCTCTTCTGGGCTCGGTATCCCCATGGCACCAAATCCAGATCCACTGAAGTCCCGGGGCTGCAGGGTGGTCTGATGTGCGAGAGGTGAGAAGAGGCAGTGACCACTTCCTGAGGCTTTTCTGGGACTTCAGACAGGACTTTCATTTTCTGAAGGAGCCAGCGAGGAGCAGAGGAGGAGGGAAGATCAGAGCAGAGAGAGATGATGGGCTTGTGACAAACTTCTGCAGGCTTTTGTGGAGCTGTGGCTGGCCTTCTCACAGGCACAGCTGGATACCGTGGCACAGGCTGCTGTTTTGGTTTCAACGACACATAAAAGGGAGACCCTGGCACTGTCGCTGAATGACGGCAAGTGCTGGGTTGTGAATTACCGTTTTGGTGTTGCCGTTGGCTTCGTTCGGGTCTCTTGTCTCTGTCAAATTAACCACTGTACATTTTTCCTGTCCTCTGACGATATCCAGGGCTTTCTTCTCTCACTCCTACTCACAGGGAGCCAGCCCACATGCCTCGCTCCAGTCAGGGGGCCATTGCCAGCCCATTCCAAAGATTGGAGACTTGCCTGGCTGAAACTGGGGCCCAGGTCTGACTTTGGCTAAATTTTCCCAGTGTTCTCAGGCTTGACCCTGCCCTCCCTCCCCCAAGTCTCAGTCCGGGGTCCACAAGATTCCACAAGAGCTGAGCAGAGCTCCTGCTGCTCCAGCTTCCCGCCAGCTTTGAACCCCTTCCTTCCAGCAATGCTACTGTCCATGTGATGGAGAACCACCCACAACAACAAAGCCCGTGTACATACCTCCATATACATATGTGTACATACACATGCGATCCTGTTATAAATATACAAAGCATGGCATTTCTTTGACATTCTAATTTGTGTTTTGTTTTTGTTGTTTGTTTTTTTTTTTCAATTCTTGGAAATACGGTTTTGGAAATCTTCTTTTTCCTCTTTTCTATGTAATAAACATTCATGTGACCTTTCTGGTGGCTTCTCAAGTTCCCATGTGTTCCATTTCTGTAACTAGACAGATCTCCAACTGCTCTAAACACTTCCATCCTTCTCTCCCTCCAACCTCAGCTGCTGATCTTTCCATTCTGAAGGCCATCTTCCCATCTCCTGGGGGCTGATCCAAAGTTCTCTCTGCTCACTGGGTCCCTTGGAGCCAGGGATGTGTACTCTCAGCAGAGTCCTGGGACCCAAATGGTGCACAGTGGGAGCCCATTTGCTTTCTTGACAGCTGGACTGGCTGGCAAGGGAAATGTGTGTGAGATACATGTTAAAATGATGTCTTCCATAAATGTGCATCTGGGTGTGAGCTGTCAGGACTTAGAGCTGGCTGTTGGCCATCATGAGGGATCTTCTAAAACAAGGAGGGGATGGCAGAGTGTCGTCTACAGCCGAGCCAACGTCTTCATTGGTCAATGCACGGAGACCTAGGGAACTTACCACATTTACTGATGACAGGAAATAAATACATCATAGATGAACATAGAAGAATGCAAAAGGTCTTCTACAATCTGACAAAACAGACTTCAAATTAGAGCAATAATCCATCAAGGGGACATTTGGATTCTAAATGTATCTGCCCTGAATACTGGTACATACAATCTCATGAAACATACTATTGGATGGAAAGCCACAGATTAACCTTAGCCTGATATTAGTGGGTGACTTCAATACCACATACTCAACCATGGGTCATCCCCCCCCACACAAAATAAACAGAAAGGTTCAAATCAAATGACATTGTACATCAAATGGACTGAACAGAGATCTACAGAACATTCCACTCAAATGCTGCTGAGTACACATTCTTCTCAGCAGCCCATGGAACATCTTCCTATACAGGGCACAAACCCAGCCTCAACAAAGACAAGAAAAATTAAAATCATTTCTCTATCCTGACTGGTCACAATAGTAGTATTAAGACCACATATCAACAGCAAGAGAAACTCCATGACACATACAGATTCATGAAGAATCTAGAAAGTTCTGGACAGGCTGAAAAGAAAAAAAATCTAATAAGATGGAACCCACTTGGGGTAGCAAAAGATCAGTGCTTGGGGCGTAGTTAGCCTCTGTGCTTCCATGCTGCTTTGGAATGTCCTAGGGCATCTTGGGGTTCATGAGCGTCCAGGTGGGTTGACAATGTACGTCATTGACTGTGGTTGCTTCGGGAGCAGCAGGCTGGGGGATGGCATGAGACATGCCTGCAGGGGTCCTGTCAGGGGTGGGGCAGTCAGGGACCAGTGCTCGACTCCTCCTATGCTAAGGGAAACGTTTGACCTCTTCCTGTTCCTCAGAGCAGCCCGTGTTAGCTTTCCCATAGCTGTTTATGTCTAACATAAGCGACTAGGAGGAAGAAGGAGACCTGTTTCCCACATCATTTCAGGGATTTTAATCTACGTTGAGGAACACGGTGGTGAGGGCATAGTGAAGCAGAGAATTTCACATCATGGCAAGCAGGAAGAAGAAGAACATTAACAGGAAGGGGCCAGGGCAAGATAACACTCCTAGGAACACACTCCCAGTGACGCACTTTCTTCAATCAGGTCCAACTTTTCAAAATCAAGGACAGAAAGGAGGGCACCGAGAGTATGACCACACTGTGTTCTTCACAGTGCTGCTGGACTGAGGAAATGGCGAGCCTCAGTGGGAAACGCTACAGACCCAACAGCACTATGGTTGGGCCGTCTCTGGCCGTGGTGGTGTGTCCCATGCATGCGGCCCCTTTCTCCGGCCCATGATGGACATCTGTTCCCCAACTTGCAGCCAATGCTGACTCATGAAGTTATGGAATAAGAACCTGTCTGGGGGTGGCTGGAGAGCTGGCTCAGCAGTTAAGAGTACCTGCTCTTGCTGAACCTGGGTTCAATTCCCATTGCCCACACCATGGCTCACAATCATCCACAAACCCAGTTCCAGGGGATCCAACAAGAATGTACATGGTGAACATACATGTGTGCAGGCAAAACATTCGCACACATAAAGTAAAATAATTGAATCTAAAAGAAAGGAGGAAACTGCCTGGGAGGAAGATGGCGGCAGCTGGTCACAAAGAGCCTCTCACAGTGATACCATGGGCCAGATCACATCCCTTCCGGCAGTCCACATCCAGGAGCTTAACTCGCAACATCCACGATGTAATTGTGTCTGGGGACAGGATATTGAAAAGGTAACGAGGTCATTAGGGTGGTCCCATTCTATAACGACTAGCGTTCTTCTAAGAAGATGAAACCAGGGGCTGGAGAGATGACTCAGTGGCTAAGAGCACTGGCTGCTCTTCCAGAGGACCCGGGTTCAAGTCCCAGCACCCACGTGCAGCTCACAACCATCTGTAACTCCAACTCCAGGGGCACCCTCACACAGACACATATGCAGGAAAAACACTGGTGCACACAAAATAAAAATAAATAAACCAGAAGAAGAGGAGGAGGAAACCGGGACACAGACACATGCAAAGGGAGAAGGGAAGGTTGTGTAGGAACACAGCAGGAAGGCAGCCATCTGCAAGTCAAGAAGGGAAGCCGAGGAGGGAGCCTTGACCTTGGATTCCAGCCTCTGGCACTGGGACTCCAAGGCCTGTGATTCTCTGTGACGGCGGTGGTGGAGCCAACTAGTGTTATGCCACAAAGCAGAAATGACAGAGATGGTCACGTGTCTAACAGTACAGTAGAAGGGAAATGTCCCAAAGAAAGGCAGGTCACTTGGATGGGGCAGCACTTTCATGAACAGCCCTGGGCCCAGGAGACCTTGGATAGTCCTAGGGTCCAGCCTTCCCCAGTGTCTGGAGGGCTCAGCTGGGCCTTGGGTACCCCCTGGGTTAAACCTAAGGATGCGGATATTAGTTTGAGGCTGTGTTCCTTCTAGGGACTTGGATACCGTGAGTTAGTGCCTTCTTGGCCCTCTCTGGCCCTACTGCCACCGCCACCAAAGGGTCCCTGATCTGGAGAGAAGCATGAGAGGAGGCCTGTGCTCAGCAGAGGTCCACAGCTGCTTCCTAGGCAGGGGTGTGCGTGTGTGTTCTCATCGAATACAGCAATGCCTGGAAGCAAAGATGCTGTATGGCAAAGAGACTTCTACACTATGGAGGAAGTAAGTTTCATCTGGGAGCCATCCTGGGCTTCTGAGTGTCCAGGCCAGCAGGGGAGTCTGGAAGCCAGAGAACAGGGGAGCCACCTCTGTGCTGGCTTCTAGGGAAGCTGGGCACATATCCACAGTCCTTTGGAAAAGCAGAAGTGGAGATACAAGGGTCTCCTCCAACACGGGGGGCCCCACAATCTGTACCTGCTGCTCTCTGCACAGACACGGCCCTCCTCGCTGCTGACACCCAAGTCTTCCTTGGCTAACCCGTCGCCTGGGAGTCACATTCACCAGGGTGATACAAGCTGGCCTTTGCTCCACCAGGGGGCAAACTCCTGCTTTACTCACACCCACGTGGTGCTGGGGAGACTGGCAATCCCAGAAGCCACCCACTTCTGAGCGGAGTGGGTGGGTCCGCAAGGCTAGTGTGCAAGCCCCCCCCCCCCCCCCCCCCCCCCCCCCCCCCGCTGCACTTACCGGGGTAGCCCAGGATCTTCCTTAGTCTCTCTACCCGAGCAAGTTTCCCGCCTTGGTCCTTAGGCTGGAGTTTGCGAGTCTGAAGCTACTTGTGGCTAAAGTTCCTACTCCTTGGAGCAAGATGCCAACATGCAAAGCAGGGCAAAAAGGAGAGGGGCAGGGAGCTAGCCAGTGCCAATGCTGCCTCTGTCTAGCCTGGGCCAGCCATGTGGGCCTCCTCCCTCCCTCCCCGATCCCTCTGCCCTTCCCCTTCCTTTATTACTTGTACCTTTCCTCCAATGCTTCATTCTTTCTTACCTCTTTCTTCATCCCCCTCTTTGCCTTTACTTCTTTCTCTTTCCCATAAGCTTATTCAAGTTTTCTCTCCATAGAGTGTGTGTGTGTGTGTGTGTGTGTGTGTGTGTGTGTGTGTGTGTGTGTGAGAGAACATCCTCCTTTGGCTCAATGTCTTTCCCGTTCCCCTTCTTGCCTGAGAACAAGGGTTCTAATGTATGAGCTCATAGAACAGCCAGGGAACAGTGGAAGACACGGGGAAGAGAGGCAAAGGACTCGAGCCTGAGCTCTCTCGGGTAAATTACTCCAAGGGAAAGTGCTTTGCGTTTCTTTTCCTTAACGTGACTGTGATGCATTATTGGTGATCCTGAGTTTATTACTACGGAGTTCAAAGCAGCGCAGTGCACGTTCTCAGCACTGGCGAGGCATCTCAGGCACACTGGGAGTCACTGACCAGTGAGTGAGGGCCGATGAACTGGAACGAGAGTCGCTTCAACGTTGTCTAAGCCTTCGCCTTTTGAGCCCCCAGGAAACCGGTGCAGAGGGCAGCAGGTGGGCTTGAGTGTTCCCTAAGACACTAGTCTGTCAGCCATTCCCACTGCATCCTCCACAGACCAGGGCCTGGGGTGCACATCACCTTAGAGAGAGGGCTGGGTGTCTCAGACACAAGCAATCCACTGAAATAGCGCTGACTTCTGAACATGTTTATTTTTCTCCTGCTGGCCACGTCCCTGAGCCAGGTACACTTAACTAGTGGGTGGAATTAAAAGTGCCTGGCTGCTGGGTGATGAGAAGCACACTTGCATATATCGCCCCTCCCCATTTTCTCCCCCAAATGGAAAACCTTTTATGCAAAGAATCCTCTGCATCTAATGTAGACGCAGAATTTGTTTTCCCTGGCTTGCTGCCTCTTTGAAACGTTAGCTATTTAGAGATGCAATTAACCACAAGCCTGCAGGAGTAGAGGCTCGGAGAGTTTCATGTGAACCTGAAAGAAGCTGGCCAGGAAGAGAAGACACCCTTGGAAGACGATGACAAGCCAAGCCTTAAGAAAGGGTGGCGGGGCTTTCTGGCTTGATGGGAGTGAGGGAGGCTGGCCTGCCAAGCTGGGCTCTCTCCACGCTGTGGGCCCCAGAGGCACTCTTCAACATGGCAGCGGCATCCACACGCTAATTTCCCTCTAGCTTTGGTCTTGACCTCATAATGGGGCCTGGCATCCCTCCACCGGCTCTGCAGCATTTCCTCCATGCAGGAGGAAATGCCACCGCTTAGGAGCCTCCAGGGACACCTGTCTGTCACTGGGAGAAACTCCATGTGCCCCATTCTCTTCCTCCATCCTTTCCCCAGGCTTGAGGTCTGACTGGGCCTGCATTGCTAGCTCCGCGTGGATCCTCTGCTCTGGCCACTCTGCTCCGCCTACAGTGTCCTTCCATGTGTCCCATGTGTTCCGCTTCCTCCATCCTCCAACCCTCTGGATGGTTCACACTCAGCTTCTACACTCATTCTGGTGACACTTCTTTTGCAAAGCCTTTCTCGAGTTTCCTTCGTGTCCCTGTCTTAGGTCAGGCCTCTTCTTCCCCCACGGGACCCCTTGTTTTCTGTGCTCTTTATACTGTACCACACATACTGTTACCTGCCCATGGCCTCAGCTGTGCCTTAAACCTGGGCACTGTTATTTACCAAAGCAGGCTATCATTTGTTAATTAAATGCATTCCTTGACCAGCCTCCTTGTCCTAGGGCGGTCTTGCAATGCATCTTGATGTCCACAAGGGGGCAGGCTCCCTGGGGGGGGGGGCTTGCTGTTTCTCAGCTGTCTTGAATGCACTCCAGCATGAATTCTCAGAAAGAAGCGTGATTGGAATTGGGATTTTTTTTTTTTTTCTCATTGAAATAGAGCAGGGCTGCTGTTGTCGGGGGCTGTCGCAGATCCTGTTTGTCCACAATGTGCAGAAACTATTTTTAAAATGGCACGTGCTACCGCGCTGAAAAGCACAGACGTTCATGTGGGATGTTCTTTCCTGCCCTCGCTTTAAATCCTGCTCTGCTCATTCACAAGTTTGGAAAGGTACAGGGAGAAAACACCATGACAGATAATGATGCTGGTTGAAAGGGGCCCACCTTTGTGACCTGAACTCTGTGGCCTCTAAGTGTCCACGATAGCCCTGGTCCTCAGGACCATGTGTGCAGAGTAAGGGGACCACAGGGTAGGACCCCAATGCCTGGTGGATATTTTTTTTCTTGTGAGCTTTTTATTGGGATCTGTCATGGGTTGTGACTGTCACCTAAGGTGTCTCCTGGTTCTGTAAAGCCCCCCTTTGAGCCTCCCCACATCTTCTGCAAGGCGCGGAAGCGCCTCTTCTCCGAGCTCTGTTTGCTTCCCGGTGGGTCTCACTTCTCTGTCGCATGTGTCATCTCTGGCCTGTGCATGGTGCACCAAATGCCAGGAGCTGGGCCACAGCTGTCACAGTGAAAACTGAAATTGAGAAAAATGACACACACACGCTGTTTCTTGGCGTTCTCAGGAACTGGATGTGTCTTCTGCATTTCTGTGGAAGGGCATGTGAGCCAGCCTGTGAGCGGCAAGCAGATTTGGTTCTGTACCCTCAGTCTGCAGGGAGAGGGCACTGGGTGTCATAGATGCTAACCTTGAGCTTCTGGGAGGGCCAGCCCAAGCCTAGAACAAACATCCCCTCACTGTAGCAGCCCTAGGTCCCCAGCCCCATCTCCAGGCCTGCAGGACCCACCAGGTACCTTGACCCTGCCTGGCCTTTGGTAGCTCGGCCCCCATGGACCCCAGACTCCAGCATTCATGGGCTGTCCTAGCAATCCTGTGGCACAGCCAGTTACCAGGGACGCAGACATGCAGAATCACAGGCAGGTTTCCTAGTCATGTGATCATGGTAACCTACTCTTCCTCTCTGTCCTTCTACTTTCTCGTGTAGAACATGGGGCTGACGAGGTTCATCTCACAGAGGGCTTTTTTTGTTTTTGTTTTGTTTTGTTTTTCGGTTTTTTGAGACAGGGTTTCTCTGTGTAGCTTTGCGCCTTTTCCTGGAACTCACTCTGTAGTCCAGGCTAGCTTCCAACGCACAGAGATCCGCCTGGCTCTGCCTCCTGAGTGCTGGCATTAAAGGCGTACGCCACCACTGCCCAGCCTCACAGAGTTTTTATGAGTATTCAACTACTTCGTTTTCAGTCACCTGACACTTAGCAATTCCTAACCACTGGTCACAACTACTTTCAAGCGGGATTTGGCAGCCCTTGTAAGGAGCAAGATAATAAACATTTCTAGTCCTGCAGCCCGTATAGGTGGCAGAGTACGCATCTCATCTGTGGTTGTGGTACAGAAGAGGCCCTAGATGCTACATAAAGCAGTGGCCGGGTTGTTTCTAACAAAACTTTATTTATAAGGTCTCATTTCTAAGAGGATGTCTGCTCAGGTGGCCGCATAGTTGAGGGGTGGGAAAGGGGGCAGAGAATGCAGAGTCCGCTGTGTAGTGTGGGGAGGGAAGGAGACGGATGTTCTCCTGTAGAATTCAGAAGGGCTGGTACAGCCTCTTACGACGGGCTCAGACATCACCTCGGGATGTACGGGAGCAGATATCTGTCCTGCCGGGATGTACGGGAGCAGGTATCTACCCTGCGTTCCCCACATGTCCATAACATTGCTGTATATGAGCCAATGGGCACCCTGCTAGGCTGAGCTCCCTTGAGCATCAGTGAAGATGGGTCCCCCGAGGAGCCTGCACAGAAGTGGAGGGGGTGTAGGAGGGCCAAGGAAGCTGCAGATGCTGAAATGTGTTCAAGTCCCCAGGCATCTCCTGCACAATCACAGATTCAGAGCGGGCCCCCTGGTTCCTTCTGGTCGCTCAAACCCCACAAAACTCTCCAGGCTGCTGCCTGTGTAGCCTTTGGGGCACCCTCATTTTCAGCTTCCTCCTCCCTCTGAGCCTGAAGGCTTGGTGGCAGCCCCACACCAGCCTGGTTCCCTGGCCAGGGGCAGGGGGAAGACTAGCCAGGGGGTGTGGCCATGGAGCACTAGGCTCCCGGGACAGAGCTTGCCCTCCCCACCTCGTGGGACGAGTGTCTAAGTAGGCAGAGTCCTGTGCTGACAGACATGGCCAGGCCGTTACAGAGACTCCTCTCGAGGGGCTGATGCAGCAGGATTTGAGCTGGATACAGATTCCTTCCCTGCCTCCCTAAGGGGTTCTGCCCCCAGTCAGGCAGAGCATCCACTCCCTGAAGATGTCCCACGACACAAAGTTGGTCATAATTGTTACCCCCATAGACCAGCAGGGGCCAGTTTCTTGTGAGCCCAGGCTTAGACAATGGGCCACCCACTTCCTTCGATGCTCCAGGGTCTGCTGCAAAGACTTCAGGTGAAGGGGGATGAGGGCTCTGTGATTGGGTGACCATGGTGTCCTGCGGGTGGTCTGGAGGACAGGTGGCAGGTGTAGTACTGGGGCCCATGTGACAAGGAGCAATGGTAGGCCTGAGGACAGGGATGTAGTCTGGTCAGACGACTCTTGTAGTGGGTAGCCATTCCAGCTTTGATCTGGAAGTTCCAACCCCCATTGAGGCTTCGGCAACTGTCACGCCTACAAGGTGGGGCCTAGAGAGGACCCTGAAGACCCGAGATCCGGATGCGCCAGCTCTCTTGGTTCCTGGACCCTGGACGCTGGAGGCAGACCGAGCACCACTGGACTGCGCCACACCTTCCCCAGACCCTGTTCCCTATCCCTTTGCTTGTAAGTTACCCCACAAAATAAACCTCCCTTTTAACTACGTGGAGTGGCCTTAATAATTTCACCAATAGGCTCTGGACAGCATGCATGAAGAATGTGGATGGTTTAGCGCCACTCAGGCAACGTAAGTTACTACTGAGTGTTCTCGAGGGACCGCCTCCTTCTCCAGGGCCTAGGGTTCGACACAGGCCATGGCCACAGGTTCCCTGGGGCTAGCCGGGAGGGCACTGATTTGACCCACTGGCCGATGGCTCGCAGGCTTCTCCCATTGGCTTGCTCTCCTTTAGCAAGTGCCTTGGGGCTGTGGGATGACTTTGCTTGGAAGGGTCTGCAGCTTCGCACACAGCAGTGGCTACAATCAGTCTTCTGGGGGCTGAGCTGGGCAGCCTTCTAAAATGCGAACACCACTATCCTTTGGTGGCTGTGGCTTATGGCAGAGCTGGAGAGAAGCTCCATGGCCCTTGATATAAGACCAGGGTTTTACTCTCAAGGGTTCCCCTAAGACGCAGCCATGGCTCCCAATTGAGCCACTATGGGATCTGGAGCTCAGCGCTCTGCTTCCAACACTCCTCCAGTAAAAAAGGGTAGCAAGATCTGAGTCTAAATCTTTTCTCCTGACCCTTTACCCAGCCCAAGTTGTTACTTTTTTTTTAATGTTTTTTTTGAGACAGGGTTTCCCTGTGTAACAGCCCTATCTGTCCTGTAACTCACTCTGTAGACCAGGCTGGCCTCGAAATCACAGAGATCTGCCTGCCTCTGCCTCCTGAGTGCTGGGACTAAAGGCGTGCGCCGCCGCCGCTGCCACCACCTGGCATTATTTGACTTTCTAAGCCTCAGTTTCCCCATCTGATCAGTGAGGACTATACAGTTTCGTTACTGCAGGTGATGCACTGTGAGTGAAGGGATATGTATGCGGCACAGAGCCCACCATGAGCAGGGGAACCTTCTGTCACTGGTTGACATCCTCGAGCCACTGTTTAAAGGTGTAGCAGCATATATAGAAAAGACGCCTTAGAAAGAGTGTTTCACATTGTTTGTAGATTAGAGTGCTACCCTATCTGACGGCCACCAGGTCATCCTAACTCTTCCGTGGTAGTTGAAGGGTGTATGTGTGTGTGTGTGTGTGTGTGTGTGTGTGTGTGTGTGTAGGGTGAAGGCAGAAGGATCACATCATGCTAGTAATGGTCTCCAAGGCCTTTATTGGGAAGGGGGAGAGCATCTACAGTTGACTGATGGGCACTGGGCAAGGGATGTAACAGTCCTGAGGGGAGAGTAATACAGAGGACAGCCAGTCAGGGTGCAGGAAGGGCCCTCTCCTCCCCAAAAAGGCACTGATGGGTGAGCACCCTGGAGCAGGGGGTGGGGCCTATACACACAGGGTTGGCAGAACACAGGCGGTCTCGAAGCTAGATACAGCCAGCCAGGGGTGAACAGCGTCGTTGAGGCCACAGCTGCCGAGGGCTCCCACAGACATGAAGGAAAGGCCCCCTGAAGGCAGGCAGAACTTAGGAGGAGCAGCCCAGCCTTTCATCTTAGTGTTTTGTGCAATTAAAACAAAAACAAAATAAATATAACTTACACACACTTCTTAAAGGGCACTAAAGTCTAGTCTGGGGAAATTGGCAGAAGCAAAACCTTCGGAGTGTGCAAAGCAGGGCTGACCACCAAGAAATCTGGTGGCCCAAGAGCGGGAGGGCTCCGTGGACCCACATCTGTACATTGGTGCATGTAGCCTGTCCTGTGTCCCAGCACCTGCGTAGCCAGGACCTTGGGGGTCTCCACCAGGACTGTGAACGTGGTTTACCAGACTGCTAGAGGTTCTGGGAAATTCCATCTGCGCTCTCTCCATTCCAGGGGGGCAGGAAGGAAGGGCCTCTGGCAAGAAGGAAGGGGGAGGATGGTTTGGGAGACACAGTGTGGGTGCTAGCATGGTAAACACAAAAACCCAACGAAGCAAAACACCCTTGGTAACAGAATAACCCTAGAGAGAGGCCTTTCCACGCTACTTTACAATTCAGCGCTAAGCGCTGTCCAGGACTGTCCTAAGCTCTTGCTGACCGGCAGCCAGTCACAGTACCTGAGCACGTTATTGTTGACAAGTGACTCCTTCTTAAAGTGCTCGGTGAACTATGTTCTCTTACATACGTTAAACTGGTTCCCGGCATTTTTGTTCATAGCATAGTTTGCTTTAGCAAACATTTTTCTGAGATAGCAGGAGGGGAGTTTTGGCCAGATCATAGCTACAGTCTCTTGGAATTAATGATGCCCCTTCCCAGCATGTACAGACCTCAGGGTCCCCTTAAGCCCCCGGGGGCAACTACAGCTGCAGAGTCCCAGAGCTTGCTGCCCGGTTGCTACTGCCCTCCCCTCCCCCACTCCAGGCTGCCTGTCTTCCCAATCATGTGCAGTCACAAGGTCTGGGCTCACTGATGGGGGTGCGGGGTGGGGGTGGGGGTGTGACCTTTAGAAAGTCAGCCCACACAGGAGCTCACCCCATCTGAATAGGAGCCAGGAAGTTTAAATGGGTTCCTTTTTTAAAATCTGTACTTATACATCCTCGTGGGTCCCACCTCCCGCCCCCACCAACTGTCACTCACCCACCAGCATGAAAGGGGAAACACATGTGTCACATGGGCCAACAGTTCTTCTAGAACCCCAGGGAGCTGGGGTAGGCGGCCCAGACGACCACCCCTGCCCGAAGCTATCTTGACAGGTGTGTCCACATTGATCTACCCCATTTCCCAGTCATGTCCCCAAGCAGTGCCTGCTGGCCTGGGACCCAGAAGAGCACCTGTACATGTGATCCAGGGTCTCTCAGTAAAAGAGGCGGTGACAAGCCCAGAGGAGCAGAGGACAGCTCCAAACGGCAGCAGAGCTGGAGTTTGGTCTTTTAAAAGTCACACAAGCCGTACACTCTTTTCAATCAGGTCACTTGCCTCACAGTTGACGTGTTGATTAACAATGGTCCCACCTCGCGCCCCCCATGGGCCTTCAAGCAGCTCAGGACTCCAGGAAGGAGAAGGCTTGGGACAGCCCTGGGCACCCCTATGAACTCTGGAAACTACCTACATGACACAGAGAAACATTGGTCTAAGCCCTTCAAGTTGGAAGAGCAAGGGACTTCAAGGGAAATTTAGAAATCACTGCAGGAAGCCCAGATCCTGCTTCCCCAAGGCCTGGTACAGCCCAGAGTGTTAGAGGTTCCCCCATGGAGGGACTTGGGGTCCGGAGGTAGGGGTGCCTGACTACCAGGGATTTGAAGGTATGAGAGTCGTCTCTGTTCCCAGGTGTGGCGGGCTCCCAAGCTGTTGCCAATCCCTGGAGGCGGGTGTGGGCCTTGAGTATTCTACCCAGCTCTGGACTTTTCCGTAGCAGGGCCGATCTAGAGCATTAAGCAGTGGCTCTAGGAGGTGGTTTTATCCCTGGAGCTCAGCTTTGCAGAATGACCCCTCTGAATTCACGGGCAGTGGTCCCAGACGGAAGAGCAAAGTTCTTTAGAAACAGTCAAGCTGCTCCCCATACTCCCGGCTCCTAGCCTGGCCTGAATCCCAAGAGCTTAATGCAAGCGGGGTGGGGTCCTGATTTAGCAACTCTAGAAAAGCCACACAGTGTTCCTGAAAGCTGGGACCCCTCACTGGAGGATTCTTTGCTCACAAGTCACATGCAGATCTCCAGAGGTTGTGTTCCCTTACTCCCAGAAATCAGGACCCTGGCCTGGCTTCAGGGGGCCCATGGTGGGAGGCACCCATGGGGCTGTGTATACTGATGGCACCAGCCACCAGGGGGCAGAAGGGTTCCACAGGTAGCCAGTCTGGGCCTGAACTTATCGAGGGGGTCTTCCAGAGGGAGGCTCAATCTCTCAAGACCCTCAGCAGCCAGAGAGCCCATGGCCTCTTAGACCCACGCCAGCTCTAAGTACAACGGACTGCACAGGATGTGGGGCCTAGCTTTGGGTAATTCTCTTCCAGAAGGTAGTTCTATTTAGAGAGAATTAGAAACGCCACCTCCAGGCCCTTGTGTGGGAAGGAAAAAAAAAAAAAGACCTAGAAAATCTCTTTTCTTCTCCAAAGTGTCCTGTAGTGCAGATGGGAGGCTCTGTTCTAGGTGGGCGCTCAGAGAGGAACGAAGGAAGAATTAGGAGGACGGGAGAGGCAGAGGCAGCACGCAAGGCAGCATGGGTAGGCAAGGTGGTGGGGGCCTCAGGTGAGTGGGCTACCCTGGGACATTTCTGTCAGGATGTCGATGAGGTTGTTCAGCCCTGAGAGGTAGCCATCCTCCCGGTTCCCCTCCTGCCAGGGGATGTCATGTTGGAGGGTCTGGCCTTCCGGGAGGGGTGTGGTTTTCCCAAAGTCGATCATCCACACCTTGGCTTGCTCCTTCTTGTCATGGATGAAGAGGAGTGAGCTGCCAATGACCTGGAGGGAAATAGGACTGTGAGAAAGGAAGCCGGGAATCGGAGCCAGGACCAGGGTGGGGCAGGATTGGGAGGAGAGGAGGTGGACGGACATGCTAGGGCCAGGAGGAGGGAGAGGAGTAGGGCTTGGAGGGGGAGCAGGGCTAGGAGGACACACAGCTGGGGTACTTGAGAGACTAAGAAAAGCCTGGGGCTATATCATCCTGAGGGAGACTTGGATCAACAATTTCACTTCCTACTGGAACTGGGTGTGATGGTGAGGGGTGTCAGTCAAGCAGGCAAGGCGTGGCTGTCAGGTTGAAGGCTCAGTACCCTACCTCATGGCACTTGAAGAAGGGAGAGACTTCCAGGGTTTCTCGAATGGCCTTCAGCCGGTCCCGGTAGGCGATCTGAGGACAGAGATGGTCACAGTTTCACATACTCTGTGTTGGGGGGGTGGGGCTGTGGCGTCCGATCTATTTAATCCATCAGGGTCACTGAATTGCAAGCAGCAATGACCTTGTACTGAACACTTACTCCAACCTCACCTACCCGAGCTGAGCTCAGAGTTATGCCTTTCCCAGAAGACTATGTGTCCCTCAGCCTCCTCCATGAGGGGGCAGCCAATCCCAGCATGCCAGTCAACCATCAGAGCCCAGAACCGGTTGCCATGGTAACTTCCTGACCACAAAGTGCTGTGCCCCTGACTAAAGACAGGGTAAGGGAAAAGCTATAGCATCTCTAGAAGAGTCCCCTCCACAGAGCCTTACAGATCTTCCTGTGTTAGCAACAGGGTGCCTGATCATCCCCAAAGGGCCAACTCTGTGAGTCTCATCACCCACAACTACAGGGCCACTAGGGAAGCCAGTATCACAGGGTTCCAGCGGTGACACAGGCAGGCAGGACAAGTCAGCAGTACCCTGGAGTCCCCAGCAACAGCAATCAACCCTTCCCTGGAGTCCCCAGCAACAGCAATCAACCCTTCTTGGAAATGCAGTCTGTGGCATGACTCTGAGGGTCTGAAATGCTCCGGACAGATGCCCAGGAACCAGAGGGCTGGTGCTGCAGACCTGCATGCTGTGTGCATTCCAGCCTTAGAGGTCTGGGCCTGCAGGAAGCAGGAGATGCAGAGACCTTCTTCTGTGTCAGGCCACCTTAAATGTGACCTCCAGCTCTGCCTTTCTCTACCTGTGTGTCCTTGACCTCCCAAGTCTCCTTGACTGTCAAATGGAGACAAGAATGTCTGCTTGCTTGTCCTCATCAGAGGGCTTCTGAGGGGATTTGAAGAATGCTCAGTTCAACCCTCGGCCAGCAGCACATGTGCTAAAGAACTCCTGCCATAGTTCCCTGATAGGGAAGGGCAGTGTGCTGGGACAGAGTGACTGACAGCGCAGGAGAGTGAGTCAGTGTTCCCCACGCTTCCCTGAGCACCCATGGATTCTGGGGCCAGCCACATCTCCTTCATACAGAAGTCTGGGGCTAGGGTTTCAGCAACACTCCTGGCTTAGCCAGGTTTGGACCCCAAACCCCGACTCACCAGGATGTTCTGGTTTCCTTTAGTGAATTCTCGGAAGGCCTCGGTGACCTGCTCTCTTGTTTTGGTCTTCTTGAAGTCACGGTTCACAGAGCCATCTTCCTTCTGAGGAGGGAGTCACCCAGAGGGAGTCAGCAGAGGGCCCATGGGACGGACAGCTCATGATCATGACCCTCACGCTGCTCTGTGGAGGTGTCAGGCGCTCGGGGATGGTACAGGGAGGCAGGTGCCACCAGGCAATTGTCACCTGGCACAGGAGAGCCTGTCCTGGGCCCCAACAGAGCATTCACAGAGCCGCACCAGATCCCCGGCCACACACTACTTTAGGAAGTCTTAATGGTGTGAGGATATCTGAACCAAGAGTGGAGAAGCTCCCGTTATAAGCAAGGGCAGCAGGGGCCCAGGATGACTGAGAACTTCACTTCCTGCTCAGCAGCCTGGTCCCTGGACCAGTGCCTCAGTGCATCCCATTAGTGTGCTAGCAGCCATCTGGATGATCAGGCTAACAGTCACCCTATCATAGGCTTGTGTTCAAGTGACTCCCATTTAAGAGTGACCCAAAGTGTGAGAGGCACAGTGCTGGCCATTTTTATGGTATGGCAAACAGAAGCTGTAAAGTGTCTCTAAGGGAAAAGGCAAAAAAGACGTGTGTGTGTGTGTGTGTGTGTGTGTGTGTGTGTGTGTGTGTGTGTGTGTATTTGTACACACACACATTCATATTAGTTCTATAGTTTCCAGACGTTTACTTTGGGTCTTGTAATGCACAGCAGGTCAAGGGAACACTATGCAGATCCCCCCAAAGCCAAGGTTGAAGCCTGTGTGGCTGCATCCCTACTCCCTCACCCACCATCTCCATGTTCTGAGCTCAGCACGCCTTCTGCTCAGGTCGCCTGGGCAAGTACACAGAACTCTGTTCTGAGACAAAGCGGGAGAAAGGGCGGGTCCAGCAGGAGCCCTGACATTTGCACCTGTCCACCTCCAGTTGGGAACAGGTGACAGCTATCCCTGCAGGGAGGCTCCCTGCAGGAAAACAGCAAGCAGCTGGGTCTGAGGGAGCTGTGGAGGGGATGGCACCTCAGGGGAGCCTTCCTCACAGGGCCTCCCTGCTAACCAAGGCAGGGGAGGTCAGCAAGATGACGGTGCGTGCAGTCAGCCCCTCTCAGCCCGTGGATGCCGTTGGCTGTATGATGCCACGGCCAGGGGCACATCGCGCCTGGGTGAGAGGTGCCAGGGCATGCTGACAGACCACCGATGGAGAGGACGTGTGTGTATATAATTTGCATCCAGTCTGAGAGCTGGATGCTGCCAAGAAGGAAAGATGGTTTTAGAAGATAAGGAAGGACAAGTGACTTTCTCCGTCCCCAGCTCTAGAAGCCAGTGAGCCACTGGTGATCACAGGAGCTCACATCTCCACACTCTGTGAGAGAAGGCTGTAGGGGCTGCCCCTCATTTCAGTTCAGTTTTACCCAACTCTGACTCCATGCTGGAGAGGGGGCCAGGCAGACCAAGCCTGGGCCAAGAAAGGGAGGGCCCTTGACGGGACTGCCACCGAGACAATGAGGAGTCTGTATACCCTCCCCTGCTCCTAGCTAGGTCTTGCAGATCTAGTAGTTAGGGACATGGGCCGGAACACAGGGACAAGGACAGTCTTCTGAGATCCTTTTCAGGGCACCCCAGAGGAAAGGATGGAGGGTGAGTTTTCAAGGCAATCCCAGGCAGCCACAAACCTCTCCTTACTGGAACTTCACTGGCAGTGAACCAACATCTTTCCTGTGGCGGGTGTATAAGCTGGCTCCTACGTAAGGTTCTCTGTGCAGCCCTACAAATAAGCCAGCTCCACCCCAAGGTCCGGTGGCCCTTCACAGCCAGTCCACCTGCACCTCCAGCTGCAGAACGGACCCCTGAGGCTGGCTGTGCACACTTAGGCCTGCAGAGGTGAGCCTCACAGACTCCAGTATCCCAAGGCCCTCATCACCACTGAGAACCGAGAGGCCTCAGCATCCTCAGGCCACACCTCAGCTCTCACCTTAATGCCCTCGATCCTGAAGCCCAGGGTAGCCGTGGAACTGATAGTTTCTCGCCACTGCATGTAACGCGGCTTGGTCACAGCACGCTGGGCTTTCTCCTCCTCAGTGGGGGCCTCGGGGTCCACCTCAACCATCTTCTGGTACATGTCCTTCCGCAAGCTCGGCTTCTTCCGGGCCTTGGTGAGTTCTTCCTCCAGGTATGTCCTGCATGGGAGATGAAGGACTTGAGGGCTGGGTCACAGCTCCCTGTAGCCATGAACTGTCTGGTGAATGAGGACCCTGCGCTGGCTGTGTCTGGTCCCAGGACAATGGTCAACACAGCAACATCTAAGATGAGGTATATCTATTGGAGAGCCATGCACTGTTTGAGCTGATTGAGGAAGGGTGTCCCCAGTGCTCCCAGAGCACCTTGATGCTGGTACTGTCAAGGCCTGAGAAGCTCAGGAGCCCCCTCCAAGGGGCCTTTTCTAGGGTCAGCAGAAGGAAGATGTCAGAACAGTGCTCAGTTTGTGGAAAGGAGACAGAGGGCGGGGTGCCCCTTGGAACTCTGCTGTGCCCTGGCTGCTTGGAAAGCACATTCTGTCCTTTCAACCTGTCTCCCTGTCCTCATGCAGCCCGCGGCTGAGCTGCATCTCTGGCTTTTGGCAGCAGGATTCTCCTAAGCACCAAAGGCAGCATAAAGTGGGAGCAGCAGTGACCCATGCTGGAGAGAGAGCTCCGTGACCTATGATGGAGAAGGAGCTATGTGACCTATGATGGAGAAGGAGCTGTGTGATCTATGATGGAGAGGGAGCTGTGTGACCTATGATGGAGAGGGAGCTGTGTGACCTATGATGGAGAGGGAGCTGTGATGACCTATGATGGAGAGGGAGCTGTGTGACCTATGATGGAGAGGGAGCTGTGATGACCTATGATGGAGAGGGAGCTGTGATGACCTATGATGGAGAGGGAGCTGTGATGACCTATGATGGAGAGGGAGCTGTGATGACCTATGCTGGAGAGAGAGAGCTCCATGACCTAGGATGGAGAAGGAGCTGTGTGACCTATGATGGAGAGGGAACTGTGTGATCTATGATGGAGAAGGAGCTGTGTGACCTATGATGGAGAGGGAGCTGTGTGACCTATGATGAAGGAGCTGTGTGATCTATGATGGAGAGGGAACTGTGATGACCTATGATGGAGAAGGAGCTGTGTGACCTATGATGGAGAGGGAGCTGTGTGACCTATGATGGAGAGGGAGCTGTGTGACCTATGATGGAGAGGGAGCTGTGATGAACTATGATGAAGAAGGAGCTGTGTGATCTATGATGTAGAGGGAGCTGTGTGACCTATGATGGAGAAGGAGCTGTGTGACCTATGATGGAGAGGGAGCTGTGTGACCTATGATGGAGAGGGAGCTGTGTGACCTATGATGGAGAGGGAGCTGTGTGACCTATGATGGAGAAGGAGCTGTGTGACCTATGATGGAGAGGGAGCTCTGTGATCTATGATGTAGAGGGAGCTGTGTGATCTATGATGTAGAGGGAGCTGTGTGACCTGTGATGGAGAGGGAGCTGTGTGACCTATGATGGAGAGGGAGCTGTGATGACCTATGATGGAGAGGGAGCTGTGTGACCTATGATGGAGAAGGAGCTGTGTGACCTATGATGGAGAGGGAGCTGTGTGACCTATGATGGAGAAGGAGCTGTGATGACCTATGATGTAGAGGGAGCTGTGTGACCTATGATGGAGAGGGAGCTGTGTGACCTATGATGGAGAGGGAGCTGTGTGACCTATGATGAAGAAGGAGCTGTGTGACCTATGATGGAGAGGGAGCTGTGTGACCTATGATGGAGAGGGAGCTGTGTGATCTATGATGGAGAGGGAGCTGTGTGACCTATGATGGAGAGGGAGCTGTGTGACCTATGCTGGAGAGGGAGCTGTGTGACCTATGATGGAGAGGGAGCTGTGTGACCTATGATGGAGAGGGAGCTCTGTGACCTATGATGGAGAGGGAGCTGTGTGACCTATGATGGAGAGGGAGCTGTGATGACCTATGATGGAGAGGGAGCTGTGTGACCTATGCTGGAGAGAGAGCTCTGTGACCTATGATGGAGAGGGAGCTGTGTGACCTATGATGGAGAGGGAGCTGTGTGACCTATGATGGAGAGGGAGCTGTGTGACCTATGATGGAGAGGGAGCTGTGATGACCTATGATGGAGAAGGAGCTGTGTGACCTGTGATGGAGAGGGAGCTGTGATGACCTATGATGGAGAGGGAGCTGTGTGACCTATGATGGAGAAGGAGCTGTGTGACCTGTGATGGAGAGGGAGCTGTGATGACCTATGATGGAGAGGGAGCTGTGATGACCTATGATGGAGAGGGAACTGTGTGATCTATGATGGAGAGGGAGCTGTGTGACCTGTGATGGAGAGGGAGCTGTGTGATCTATGATGGAGAGGGAGCTGTGATGACCTATGATGGAGAGGGAACTGTGTGATCTATGATGGAGAGGGAGCTGTGTGACCTGTGATGGAGAGGGAGCTGTGTGACCTATGATGGAGAGGGAGCTGTGTGACCTATGATGGAGAGGGAGCTGTGATGACCTATGATGGAGAGGGAGCTCTGTGACCTATGATGGAGAGGGAGCTGTGTGACCTGTGATGGAGAGGGAGCTGTGTGACCTATGATGGAGAGGGAGCTGTGTGACCTATGATGGAGAAGGAGCTGTGTGATCTATGATGGAGAGGGAGCTGTGTGACCTATGATGGGGAGGGAGCTGTGTGACCTATGATGGAGAAGGAGCTGTGTGATCTATGATGGAGAGGGAGCTGTGTGATCTATGATGGAGAGGGAGCTGTGTGACCTATGATGGAGAGGGAGCTGTGTGACCTATGATGGAGAAGGAGCTGTGTGATCTATGATGGAGAGGGAGCTGTGTGATCTATGATGGAGAGGGAGCTGTGATGAACTATGATGAAGAAGGAGCTGTGTGATCTATGATGGAGAGGGAGCTGTGTGATCTATGATGGAGAGGGAGCTGTGTGACCTATGATGGAGAAGGAGCTGTGTGATCTATGATGGAGAGGGAGCTGTGTGACCTGTGATGGAGAGGGAGCTGTGTGACCTATGATGGAGAGGGAGCTGTGATGACCTATGATGGAGAGGGAGCTGTGTGACTTATGATGGAGAGGGAGCTGTGTGATCTATGATGGAGAGGGAGCTGTGTGACCTGTGATGGAGAGGGAGCTGTGTGACCTATGATGGAGAGGGAGCTGTGTGACCTATGATGGAGAGGGAGCTGTGTGACCTGTGATGGAGAGGGAGCTGTGTGACCTGTGATGGAGAGGGAGCTGTGTGACCTGTGATGGAGAGGGCTGCTCAGGGCTCTGTAGCCCAGTTGTGTCTCAGAGATAAAAGTGCCACACCAGGTCACTGAGCCTCCGATCCCAGGCAGACTAAGAAAACATGAATTGCCTCATGCTCTTCCCTTTGCCGTAAGTAGTCTGCAGGCTAATGGGTGAGACACTATCTCCTGGGAGAGGTGACAGGCAGAGACAGGCCAGGCTCAGAGCAGCCTGGAGTGGAGTCCTTGGTCCAGAACTCTGAGGACCAATCCTGGCCCCAGCACCGCCCTCACAAACTCCCACCACCTCCAACTGGAAACGTGACTCACCCCAGCCCTCTCCCCCGTGACAGCACTTCCAGCTGTGTGCATGCTGCCCAGGGCCCTCATGAGGCAGCAGTCAGCAGTCAGCTGCAGGATGGGGAAGTGGGCCCCTGGAGCCCTGCGTGGGTGTGAGCTGCCCTCAGAGGTACCCTCCCCTCCCTTCCCCCTACCCCCCCCCCACACACTGTCCCAATTCTCCTCTCCACATCTTTCCCAGAATGCCAGTCTGGGTCCCAGAGCAGACAGAACAAAAATCTACATCTTAGAGAGGAGAGGATTTCAGATTTCATGCATTGGTATTTGTACTGGGAGGAAATTCCCATTTCCCTGGGATATACGTGTGCAAACAGGTCCTGGTTATCTGGGAAGACTGTAAGGGGAATGCATTAGCTCTGGTTGGGTCCTTGCATGCATACACATCCCATGTACTTATGCATACTCATGCGCACAGCACACCACGGTGCATGCAGATACCAAGTTATCAGTGGACCTGTGTACCGTGGGGGAGGAACTCATGCCTCACACTCCTGAGGGTGCAACACAGGCCTGCCGGGCAGGCAGTAGCCACACTTCTGCAAAGAGTCCTCAGTAGTTTCTTAAACAGGAAGCAGACACCAAAGTCACAGCCCTGTCCACATGGACCTTTCTTCAAAGGGGCCCCCACAGCTCCAATTAAGCAGAGTCAGTTGTTCTCAGGCACAGAAGGGGGCTGGGAGGGGGATGTTCCCAGTGGATCCTAGCTGGGTAATAAGTGTATTAGAGGAACCATCGGTACCTATCACTGCCCTGCTGAGGAGGGAATGCTTGAGCTCTATCCCTTGTAGGGGAGTGGAGGCCTGTTCATCAACTTCTAGAGCCCATAGAACGGATCTGGGGTCACAGAGACCTGTTCCCTGACGGCCAGAATCTGGGAGAGAGGCAGAAAGGGAGGCGGTAAGTCCCCGGGAGACCAAAAAGTGTCAGGTAAAGGCGAGAACAGCTTTTCCAGGGCCCAGGGGCTGGAAGTCAGCCCTAGGTCTGGATGACAGAAGACACACCCACAGTGACCGGGAAGTTATCAGTGCAAGGATACCTACGAGTGGGGCGAGCACCTGTTCACTTAGAGCCAGGTCCCTAGAAACACCCTGGTTTAAGATGCCTCCAGGGTCCACATGGCTTCCCTCAGTACCACCACCTCTTACCCAACATGACTAAGTTTGGCCCTGCTGATGGGCCTTCCTACCAATTTTGCAAGCCTCTGCCTCATGCCCTGAGACTTGGTGCTTGACAAGGACCCATGTCCCAGCCTCTTCCTGCAGCAGGGAAAAGCCATGCTCTGGTGACAACCGTGGACTGCTTGTCTCAATGCTAGCACAGAGGGTTGTGTTTCTGTGCTATCGCGTTTGGGGGAAAGCCACAAGTTATGGACCAAAGAGGACTAGCCTGCCACTCCAGGGAGCTCTGTGGAAACTGGACTCCTGGCATCTCCATAGAAGGCAAGCCATGGTTAAGGTCCTGGTGTGCAGTCCATAGGCCTGGGTACATCTGTACTATGTTGCTACCTAGGAAGTTATCCCTGGAGACTCCTGCTCAAATGATAGCATAGCCTCCTGGACTCCCAGTGTGGCTGGCTGTGGGACATGCTGGGACAGAGTACATCTAACACTGTGCTCAGAGCACGGAAGGCCCTTAGGGTCTGTGGGGGGGGGGAGGTAGGGCTGGGGTGAGTGCTGCTTCTGGGGAGACCTCCCCTTCCTTAACCCTATGAAGGGTGGGGTTAACTAAGCCCTTTTTGATAGAAGAGCTCTGAGGTACGAAGAGAGAGAAGCTACTAGGGTAGGAGACAAGGGAAGCCTGAGGGGATGGGTCCCCCGTCCCTGCAGTTTCCCAGGGAGCAGCCAGCCACACAAAGCAGAAGGCACAGGCAGTGCTAATCAGGTACAGTTGGACATGTCTGGGCACCTGCGAGAATGCCTAGCGGGACTGTGCATGTGCCCACTCCCCTCTCCGGCAGGCAGACTGAGCCCTGGTCTTCCCGTGTGGGAAGGAAGGGCAGGGCCTCAGCTTGAGTGGTCATATACTAGTGCCTCGTGGAAAGAATTTTCTGGAGACAGAAATAAGATAGCCAGAGATCTGAGGCTGGGTGGTGGCTGCAGGGACATTCTGCTTTCTCCCTCACCCACCCTAGCTCCTTGTGGGCCAAAACATCTAGGGCTTTGGAATGGAGGAGGAGGTAGCTAGTGATGGAGAGGAACTAATAGCAGGGTCTGTATTTCTCCATGACCCCATCTCTACCTCGGGGACAAGGGAAAGGGACATGTCGTGGTCAGCTGGCAGGGGCTGATTTTAGGGCAGAACTCCCAGGAGGAAGGAGAAGGAAAGAAAGGAGCTGTGATTGGGTTAACCTGAGTACACTGAGCTCTTCCTGCTGCCTTCTCGATATCATCAGATAAGAAACAGCATTTGATGGGCTGAGGAGATGGCTCAGTTGGTAAAGTGCTTGCCACACAAACACGAGGACCTGAGTTCGATCCCCGGAACCCACATAAGAAAGTAAAGCATGGTGGTATGTAAGCACGTGTTATCCCAGTGCTGGGCAGATGGGGACAGGTGGAGACAGGTGGATCCCCGGGGCTGGATGGCCACCCAACCCACCGAATCAGAGAAGCTGAGGCCGTGAGAGACGTCTTTAAAAAGAAGCTGGACAATTCCTGAGGAACAAGACCCGAGGCTGACCTCTAGCTTCCATATGCACATGCGTACACAAAACCACACATTACACACCCACCCACGTGCTAAAGAAATAGATCAGCTGGACTATTCAAATCAGATGCAAGCTTCAGCTCTGAGTTCAGTCCACTGTCCAGCGTGGATATCTGCAGCCCAAATCAGGCTCCCTGGGGTGGACATGGAGTACTGGAAACTTCAGAGGCCGACAGCCAGGAGGTAGGGGAAATGTCCACTTCTGCTGGAGGCTTTATGGCCCTCCAGGCTCTGGAGTTTTCTGCAAGTCACCTCACCCACCACCTGCCACAGGGACCTCTGAAGCTCCCAGACTCCATCTAGAGTTGCATCCTGGTGACAGGTCTTTTTTTTTTTTAAACCAGCATGTGCTGCAAGCCAGCTCTGTGGTCCCTCTCCATCCCTGTCTCCCCTGCAGTTCACTTAACAGGAGGTCATTGTCTTGCTTCCTCCCTGCTGACTGCTCACCTCACTTGAGGACCCCACCTGACTAGACCCCTTCTGCCTGCTCCCCGAGAGGCTCAGCACCCAGCCAGGGCCCCTGCCCTGTCTTCTCCAGCTCACTAGAGAAGAGAAGCTCTCAGCATGGCAGAGCCAGCATCCCTGTGTCCTTTGCACAGCCAGGCATGACGGATGGGGAGGGGCATAGGCAGCAAGAAGCCTGGCTCACCTGATGCCCATCTTGCAGTCCATCACGCAGGGCGAATCAAAGTCAGCCAGCAGGTCATCCATCTGGTTGTAGCGTTCCCCATCCTTCACCACGTCCCCATGGTAGGCTGGCACGAAGGGTCTCAGCACATCAGCCATCAGCCGGTCCAGGCAGCGCTGCTCAGATTCACAGTGCTTCTTTAGGATGCGGCCATTGGCAGCTGCCTTGAAGCTCCCTGCAGAATAAGTAGGAGGAGGGCCTCTAGCCTCAGTGGAAACCGGGGATATCTGGGATTGCCCCACCCATCCCCATCTCTTGCAACAACCCCTTGGAAGCTGCATCAGGACCATCCCCCTCCCGCTGCAAGATACCACAACCCTGGCTAAGCCGAGGGTTGACGGTGTGGCCATTTGTAGACAAGTGCCTTAAGGTAAACGGCTTTGCGTCCTGGTCACCTATTCACTGACTGCAACTCTGGCTGCTCCCTATCTGGCTCCAAGCTCCTCACAACCAAAGTTATCAACAGGACTGTGCATAGTTCTACCCACTCCTCAGTATTACTATGAGCACCCCACCCCCACCTCAGCCCTACTTCTTAACCAAGCAGGTGTCCCTGAGTCTTGGGAGAAAAAGCTCAGTGCCTGGACAGGGGACAGAGTGGGCACAGGCCGTCTGGGCAGTGCTCCTTCGGAGCCACACCCTCAGGGAGTATTCACAAAGGGTGTCCATCTATGTCTTGGTCTAAGCCTGTGTCGGCCTGAAGAGAACCTGCAGCAGGGCCATGAAATCATGAGAGCTGTGGAGTGGCCAGGGAGGTGTCCCCAGAGGGCAATACGTGATAAAGGGCTCCATCTGGGGCCTAGCTGACTGCTAGCTGACTGGGTGGCTGGAGGGTGACTTGGCGGCGTCTCCCGCCAATTCAAGTTCCCTCCTGGTAGAGACTCTCTCTCCACTGATCCTGGAGCCGCTAGAACACAGTGATGCAGGCACACCCCGCGGCTGCTCACTGAAGTGGTTTAGCTTCGCCTCTTTGTCCAGGATTACAGAGGGTAAACAAACTATAAAGAACTGATCTGAGACCGTGTTAGTGAGGGAAACTAGAGGAGAGACTGGGAGACAGAGTGGGAGAACCAGGGACAAGACAGGTGGGGTGGATATGTTCTTGGGGACAGAGCGACAAGAACTTTGGAAAGTTCTATTGTCCTCGGGCACTTACAAGGCATTGGAAAGGCCACACCTTCTGCCAAGGTCTGCTCTGGGGCTGCCGGCTCCTGGGGCACCCTGCACCTGCCTTCCCCTCCCACATGCACCCGGGGCCTCCCCAGGAGAGCCGAGTCCACTACCTGCATGTCCTGCCAGCTGGATCCAGGGGTACTTCTTCTTGAAGGACATGACAAAGGGGGACCACTGCACCATGTTCTTTATCTTCCTCCATGACTTGCTCTGGAAAAGCAGCAAACAGAGGGCTCTGGGTGAGAGGACGTCACCGCCGCGTTCTGGTCAGAATGAATTTAAAGCAAGGCGACTCGACGCCCATGGCCACTGCACCTGAGGGGCCGCACGCACACCTCGGGCGCCCATAGGTGGGCTCCAGACACCTTGTTGGCTATGTAGCAGGCACAGTCAGTCACAAGTAGCTTTGCCACGGTTTACAAACAGGTTGAACAAGGCGCTCAAGGGATTTCTTAGGGCCTGTTCAGAGGTAGGTGAAGGAGGCAGGCAAAGCTCCCAATTCAGGGCTCTTTAACCTAGACCCTTCCTCAGCAGGGAACAATTAAATCCATATCACTCCTTTTCACGGACCCACTGTCCCCGGTGCTTTGGCTTTTTCATCTGTCTAGTGAGGGGCAGACAGCTGGTTCACCGGGTTCTCGGGACTCTTAGATACCAGGACTCTGGAAAATGACCTCCTTGCACCAAATTCAGTGATCTCCGACTAGAGGGGTCACTGTCACCTGCAGCTCGGTGTTTATCTGTGGATGCTATGGTAAATTAGCACTAATGAAGAAGCATTCCACAGAGGGGCCATTCATGGATGACTGCCGAGTACCAGGTGGGATGGTACATACACCTGGAGTCCCGTCCATTCAGGAGGCCAAGACAGGAGGCTCACCAAGCCCCAAAGCTTGAGTCTAGACTAGATGATGCAGTGAGATTCCCCCAACTCAACACCCGTGAGCACATACGCGCGTACACACACACACACACACACACACACACACACACACACGCACACGCACACGCACGCACCCCAAATCACCTTCTAGGGAAGTAAGGGTCTGGAGGCTGCCCAGCTGAGGACAGACTCTGGAGAAGATAATGACAGCCAGATGTGGCACAACTGGAACCAGCCGGCTGGCATGGAGCCTGGAGACAGAGTGAGGCAAGTGTGTGCAGGAGGTGACCAGGAGCAGGGAGTGAGCATGGGCAGGTGAGTGTGATCAGAAAAGTGAACCCCCAAGTTCCGGGGGCTCCAGAGTCTTTCCACATCTGAGATGAGAGGACCAGCAGCCTCCACTGGGAAGCACCAAGAGCAAGGACCGCATGGCCAAGGCCAGGGGGTCCTAGCATAGCGAGACCAGTTACAGGCTGGTGGAATATTCCACTTGGAAGGAGTGTTGCGCATTTGTCCCAGAGACCCTGACATTCAGGGCTGACCTCGAGTTTTTAAGCAGCAGCTGTGCTAGGCAGCATCAGAAAAGGCAGTCTCCTTGGCTGGGGCCAGGCAAGGGAAGAGGCTGTAAGGAGTCTGTACATCCTTCTTACTTGTAGGAGTAGAGACAGATGACAGGGACAGACACTCAGGACCTCACGAACATCCTGGAAAGCACAGCAGCCCATCAGCAGCCCATCAGCAGCCCGATCCACTCCCAGGAGAAGCAGCTTTCCAGGCCTGGGGCAGCCTCCCCTCGAAGCACTTTTGTGCGGGAAGCCATTGTACCAGGAGAAAGGTTCCAGACCTCTTGTCCCTGCTAGGACAGGTGACAGGGAGGAGAGGAAGGCATCTACAACCTGGAAGAGTTCCATCAAGGGACTGGACTGCTTAGCCCTGGTTCTCTCCCAGCAGAGATTCTACCTGGACTCAGACTACCAACCCAGGCTTTGACCTTCCCACGTGGCTACAGACGCCTCTCCCTGAGTGGGAAAGTGTTTCCCAGGTCTGTCTTTTGTCACCTCCTAATCACCACAGCATCTACACAACCTCCATGGACCCTCCCTGAGTGTCCCTCAGAGCTCCAATGCATGACAGGTCCTTCTGACCTGTATGCACATCAGGTCCTTCCATGTGACTCTGAGGAAGCTGGCTGGGCTGATGGTGGTCAGCTCTATGGCCTCACTCACTGGCCTGAGTCAGGATGATGAGCCTAACAGTGTCACTGGGGATGCCAAGTATGATAGCGCAGGGGACCCACTGCCAGCTGGCGTGGCTTCTGTCACACACGCTCATTCCCCCACCCAACCAGTGGCGGATGGCAGGACTCACGTCAGCAGACATGCAAACACAGAGCTGCTGTGTGGGTGTTTGTGACAGGCTGGGGTCCTGTGGCCTTGTGCTGACCTTCACGACGTCTGGTGGTGACAGGAACATCTTTATCTGTGTCATAGATGAAGCACCCCAGCTTCAGCAAGTCATTTCCCCTGGTCCAGCAGTTCTGAAACCGTAGGTCATGACCCCTTTGGAGGGTCAAACGACCTGTTCACAGGGGTTGCCTAAGACCATTCTGCACATCAGATATTTACATTACTATTCCTAACAGTAGCCAAACTGCAGTTAGGAAGTAGCAATGAAAATAATTTTATGGTTGGGGATCACCACACATGAGGGACTGGATTAAAGGGTCGCAGCGTTAGGAAGGTTAAGAACCGCTGGTCTAGTCCATTCTCTCCCTTGCTGGTAAGAATCAGGCCACACTGAAAACCTGCAATCCATCTTCTGTCCACGGTGACAGCTAACATTGGGGTCAGGAGACAAATACAAGGAGGCGGTTCTGTCTGCTCCCTCAGTAGGGGAGCCCGGGGCCTTTGTAACGTGCCTCCGGTTGCCACCAAACCCTGGTGATGTCCTGTTCTGGGGCTGGCACACTTCCAGCACATTCACCAAGTGACATAAAGTTTACATCTGCTGGGTATGAGCAGAGCTGGTGTGTGCTTGCGGGCTCCGGAAGGTTTGTGTATGTACAGTGTGCGCGGGAGCTCACTGTGGACAGTGAGGAGGGTGCCACAGAGGAAGCTGGTATGTCCACCAGCAAGTGAGGGGACGTGGGAAATTAAGCCAGCTAAGTCACAGGCATGAAGCCTTCGTCAATTCTTTAAGCGACTTGAGCTGAAGCAATCCCTGGATCGTTGGCCTCTTGGTCGAACCAGCCCTGGCCGGGCCTTGCTCTGTATCCACATGCGGGCAGGATCATTTCTTACCCAACCAGACCTCGGGTTGTACAAGGAATAGGAAGGTCCTGACTCATCCAGTTAAATTCGGATCAAAAGGATCAGAAAACAGCCAGGTTAGGAAACGCAGTTTTTAAAACCCCCAAGATTCACGAGCGCTGTGGGCAGCCTCTGAGAGTTGAAAATGCTGAAGCAACTGAAATCAGTCTGGACAGCTTCACAGCTCGCACCTAACTTGAAGCTGTGAAAATATCCAGAAAACGTGAAGAGGGATTTGTAACGGGAAGAAAACCAACCAAACAAAAACCCCAAAGCCAAACAAACAAGCACAATAACAAAAGTACAGGAGGCCCACAAACCTCAGCTCTCTTCACACCTGAGGTGTGGGGGTGTCACAGGGAGAGGGAGGGGAGGGAGAGAGAGGGAGGGAGGGAGGGAGGGAGGGAGGGAGGGAGGGAGGAGAGAGAGAGAGAGAGAGAGAGAGAGAGAGAGAGAGAGAGAGAGAGAGAGAGAGAACAGGCAGGCCACCAGCAGCACAGTGCCATCAGCAGAGCAGTTAGTTCCACACCATGCTGAGCTACAGGCCACTGGATCAGCCAGCAGGAGAAGGGCAGCTTAGGGAGCTCAGGGCAGCCAGAGCCTGACTCACACTGTCCTTTTTCCTCTTTCCCATGAGCTTCTTCTACTTCCGGAACCCGAAGCCACCTTGGGTCTCGCCACTCCCTACTCTGGCACCTCTGTCTTTTAGTAGAAAGGACCCACTGTACGGGGGCCACAGGAGAAAGCCTGGGCAGGATCTGACTCTGTACGTTTGTGTAGGCTTCAGGGGAGGGGGACAGTTTCCGGGGCATGCCACCCTCTGGCTGCCTTTCCCTCAGGCAGCTGCAGATAGGCTCTGGGGATGTAATGCCTTAAACGAGCAGGAAGGAATCGTCTCTAAGAGTGGCCAGTGTCTTTTGCAAAGCGGTCAGAAAAGGAATGGTGGGATCACGGCTGAGAAAAAGCACGGAGCTCCAGCACAGGCTGTGGGGATGTGGGGCCTCTCGCCTACCTCTTGCAATGGAGCTATCAGCGAGGGCTTGGCACAAAATGGAAATGGAAGGCCCCATGTCCAAAATGTGACAGGGCTGTCCAGGCAGGGAAGGCAGTGGAATGTGACCTTTCCAAGGCCAGGTAAGTATGGGCTCTGCTGTGCGGCTCCCCAGGGCTATCAAGAGCCTCAGTATACCCATGCCCAGGCTGTTGGAAGGAAGCAGACCTCCTGGAGACAGCCACTGTCTGTCTGTCCCTGGTGGATGCTTGTCTGTCTGTCTACTCTCCTTCAGTGCCTGATTGATGAGTCCTCTGCTGAAGTGGCAAGCTGTCCCCCACCATCAGATATTGTCTGAACACTGCCTAGATCCTATGGTGCTGGACTGTTTATAGAGACAGGGTGGTGGAGCTGAGCGCCACTGAGCCTTGGAGTGGGAAGGACCCTCTATTCTTCCAGGTCCTACTGCCCTCAGATGGACAAGCAGAGACCTCAGTGTTCCCATCTGGGTACCCCTGTGGTCCCTTGGAGTCCCTGGTGATACAGACCTCTCTCCTACCACGTGCTCTGCTCTGCACATGGCCAAGTCCAGGCAAGCCATAGGATCCACTTTGTCTTGACTTCCGATTCTCCCTGTTTGTTTTGTTTTTCCTCCGAGACACAGTGTGCTGGCAATAATCTACCAGGCACTTCCAAAGGGCCGGAGGGCAAGTGGGGTGGCCGTGAGGTGAGCCAACGTGTGACCGATTATTTATGGATTCCCCACCCCCAGGCCCACAGGGCTAGACCCAGACCACACAGTCAGAGCTCAGGAGCCCAGTGTCTCCATTCTGCTGCTGTCTAGAGCAGTGGTTCTCAGCCTTCCTGATGCTGCAACCCTTTAATGCAGCTCCTCGTGTTGTGGTGACCCCCAACCATGAAGCTATTTTCATTGCTACTTCATAACTGTAATTTTGCTGCTGTTATGAATCATAATATAAATATCTGATATGCAGGATGGTCTTAGGCAACTCCTCTGAAAGGGTCT